ATTCATGAACCCCTTGATCTAACTATAATATAATTGACCTCTAATTACAAGATTACATTGCAATAATCTTATATATATTTTTTTCTTGAAAAATGCAGTACGATGTATACGGAAATTTATTAGGCCTTTTAGGGGCCCACCCAATAACCCCACTAGTCTCTCTCCACCACCTGGACGTAGTTGACCCGATATTCCCGGGCATGACCCGAGTCAAAGGCCTGTACAGACTGTTCGAATCGGTCGAGCAAGACTCGGCCAGCATAATCCAGCAGTCGTTCTGCTACGACAAGGACAAGTACTGGTCGATCTCCGTCTCGTGGGGATACGTGGTCCAGATCATGAGGGGGGTCATCTCCCCCCGTGAGCTGGCAATGCCCACGCGCACGTTCCTCAACTGGTACAAACGGGCCGACTACACGGCATACGCGTTCAACACTAGGCCCGTGGCCAGGCACCCTTGTCAGAAGCCGTTCTTGTTTTACTTGAGCTCGACAAAGTACGATGAGAAGAGGAGGCAGATCATCGGGGTTTACTCGAGGTATAAAGAAGCGCATCCTTATTGCCGGTGGAAGAGCAATTCGCCTGAAAAAGTCACGTCCGTTGTTGTTTTGAAACGGTCCGATAGTAGCCGGTGGGACAGGGTATGTTCTTTTTTAAGTGCATTTTAAAATTCCCTTGTTCTTAGGCTATGTTTGGTCCATTAATTTTGAAATGAGAAAAACAAAAACGCAAAAGCAAATGAATTTAAGAAAATGAAAATACGTAGTATGTTTGGTTTTTCCCTTAATTATTTTATCTAGTATTTTACCTCCTAATCAAACAGAAAAAAAAAATTATACTCGGCATTTTTCCTGATACAAACAGAGCCTAATAAAGTTCGTTTTTCATGTGTATTTTGACAGGCACCGAGGAGGGACTGCTGTAGAGTTTTGCCTTCGAGAAGGAGCTCGGTTATGTACTTATGGGTGGGAAATTGCAGAACCGGTGAGATAAGTGAATTGTAGTTTCCAAAAACGAAAAAAAAAACGAGACTTTTTCGTTTTATCTTGTGAAGGGTCCCTTTTGTTCTTCTAGAGAACTCAAAGTGGAATGATCTAATCTAATTCACAAGAATCATGAGCACATAACATAAAACAAATGTAATGACTTAGTTTGTACTTTTGTAAATTCAACACAGTGAGCCATATTTTTTGGTTCTTACACTCAGTTTGCTTATTATTACATCAAAACATTCACGAAAAATCGAAATCACGGAAGCGTAAAAAAGTTCACCGTTATTTGGTTCTCGATTTGGAATAGCAGCGCTATCTGTACACTTTTTTTTTCTCGTTCTGGTCTTCATCATCGACCACCGTTTTCGGAGATTGATGGATATGGAGTGAAGATTGATGCCAGGTTAGCAAGATATGTATTCTGTGGAATCATCTGTCGCGAAACACCGATCATTCTTCCATTCTTCATCTCCAAATACACTGTTTGTCGATAGACGAATAAAACGGATTATTAGCAAGATAATTAAGCGTATATAAAGTAATAAAACAGATATTAACAAGACAATTATTAAACAGATGAAACTCGAACGAAAATGCTCTCTTTCTGTTTCGTTGCTGTTCGTAGTATGCAACTAACTAGCAGCTTTAATCAGATATACCACAATCAGTAGAAATTTCTGTTGACAGGGTGTTTGTTGAAAGCTATAATCAGAGTTCAATCAAAAAAGTTACTCGTTTTTTTTCCTGCATATTTAATCGAATGATTATCAACGAAGGATTACAGAAGCAATCATAGATTGATCAGATCACACTAATAAGAAAAACGAGACCCTTTATCAATATATCTTGATTAATTCCGAAAGCAAAAACCGAGAAGAAAGAAATAACCGAAACCAGTTTTTATTTTCTTAGTTTTTTTCTTGAAACCATGAACGAAAAATCTTGCACAAATAAGAAAATCGAAGACGATTAAGCAATTTTTTTTACTGAATCCCATAACGAATTTCGAAGAAAATCCTAACTACCAGTTTTAATCAGACAACACAATTAGTAGATTCCATGCAATTTTTTTTTTTATTTAATTCGCAAAACAAAAACCTAAATCCCTAATTATTCTCCAATTCCCCCAATCTAAGAACACACACACACGAACACTGCAAACATGAGCAATCGACGAACCAAATCACATTCAGGAGAATCCGATTAGATCAATAATGAAATTAGAAGAATAAAAATTGAACCAATTTTCATATTCCGATTTTTCTACGAACGATCGCGAATCAGAAATCTCACCGGGATGAGAAAACCACCAGAGAATGAAGAGGCAGAGAATCACGACGACAGGGATGAAGTGAGCCCTCCTTTCAGGCGAGCACCGGTACCTTGAAACCCCCCTCTTGCCGTCGCCGGAGTGCCTTCTGAACAGCGGAAGAACGGTGGCTTCATCAATTTTCATCTCAGGGGAGTACGGCGGCATGGGCAGTGAAGTATGCGGCGGCGACAGCTCTGCGCCGCGGAAGGTGTTGGATTGCCTCTGCATTTTTAGAGAGAGAAGTTGAATAGTTTCTTCTAGAGAGAGAAAAAAGAGGCGTCGGAGCTTTGGAGTGAGTGAGTGAGAGAGACTTCTGTTAAGAGACAGTTAAAAAAAGTTATTTTATACGGCTGGTTGATGGCGGGAAAGCTAAACTCGTTTCTCACGGTGTGCTACTCACGTGACACGCATGCTATGTGTGTGAGTTTTTTTTTTTCTTTTTTCTAGTTTTTGTTTCTTATTTAAATAGCATTATAATCTATTTTATAGAAAAATATGTTATTAAAATAGCATTATAATCTATTCTACTAAAATATGTTTTTATAATGGCCATTTAAACATATATCTTTTATTATTTGGATACTAAGAAATTACTATATTCTCTCTTCATATAAAACGTAATTAAAAATATATATTTACATTTATTTTATCTTTTAATAAAATTAAGGGTAGATAACATTTAACCCCATGATTACAAACTTTGCAGGTGTATGTTTTAATATCAGCACATAACCTCTCGTGGTTGATGGGTAGCTTACATTAGTTTTTCCGTCAAATTTAACCGTCAATATCAAACATCAAAGTAAATTTTCTTGCAGATGAACCCTTGTACTTTCAGTTTTGCAGATGACCCACTTAACGTTTAACACACACGCTTAAGTTTAACGGAAAATCTAACACAAGCTATCCCATGCCACAAGGATTTTAGGTACTGATATTACCAGGGGTTAAGATTGGTTAAGATTTAAGTACTATTTATCCTAAAATTAATATCTACATAGACTCGCGAAAACAAAAAAAATAAAATAAAAAATGAATTTTGCTCATAAAAAAAGCCAAAAGTCAAAATCTGATAAATACAGAGTCAGCTCTTGCAGAAAGAACTAACATCCCATAAAACAGAACCAGAGTAGCTAACATACAATGGTTCAAGTTAAGGATGCAACTCTAGCCTCTATTAGTACCCCGTAAATAAATAAATAAAAATTAAAAAAATAAATTAAAAAAGTAGAGAAAAGTGTATTTTCCTGTTTAATTCAGTGTCTCTTTTGAATGGGATGGATATTCGGATCGTATATCTGCGAAGCAAGATATTTCAAAGCTGTAACTAAATCAGCGACGAGTGGACGCATGTTTGGCTGCTCTTGTACGCACATTGCAGCAATTGCTATAGCTTGGTGTAATCCTCTTGCTGGATATTCGCCTTCGAGCGCTGGATCGGCCATTTCATGGAATCTTTTCCGGTCCTTAAATAACGGTCTTGCCTGCAAAAAAAAAAAAGAAAAAAATTATCAGAGAAAAGAGACGAAAAACAACGATAAAAACATGGTCGTATTGCTATGTTTTCTTCCACTTTAAAATAATAACAGGATGTGTAACAGAAAATAACTTCGTAGACATAGCGGGCACCACTACAGGATCTACAACTAACTTAACGGAACTATGAATAAAAATACGAGCTTATTGCGTTTAGCACCCCCGTGTTGTATCAAATTGCTAAAACCTCTCGTATTATAAATATTAGCAAAAAAACATACGATGCATCTTTTAAGACGCAACTCATAAATGGTTTTCTTTTGGGGAGTAGTTTGCTGATAAAATTGGATCAAAGGGGGGTTTATGCTAATATTAATAACACGAGAAGTATTTTAACAATTACACTAAATGCCGGGGTGTTGAATGCAATAAACCCATAAACATATGCATCACAAAGATCATCACGAGCTACAACAAACATTAGCCACTTAACTTCACAAAATTGATTCATATTAATAAATAGCAGTTTATTGCATTTAGCACCGCTGTGTTTTCTCTAATTATAAAAAACTCCCCGTGCTATAAATATTAGCAAACACCCCCTAGATTCATTTTTTTAGCAAACTACCCCTACAAACTCACCATTGAGGGATTCTTTGCTAAAAAAATACATCATAGGGGGGTGTTTGTTAATATTTATAACAGGGAGAGTTTTTTAGGTCCGAGTTTTTTAGCAATTCGATACAACATAGCGGCACAGAATGCAATAAACTCTAATATATAAAAGCATAGTTTAAAATCAAATATGCTTACCCATGCAACAAGATTCGACTGGGAACCAGTTCTCCTATTATCAATAGCTTTCCTCCCCGTAATAAGCTCGAGAAGAACAACGCCAAAGCTATATATATCCGATTTAAACGTGAGTTGACCAGTCATCGCATAATCTGGCGCACAATATCCATAAGTACCCATCACTCTCGTGGAGACATGTGTCTGGTCTCCAGACGGGCCCACTTTAGCCAAACCGAAATCCGATAATTTAGGGTGGTACCCTTCACCCAGCAAAATATTCGAACACTTCAAATCACGGTATATAACTGGCGTTTTCATCTTGTCGTGCAAATACTCTAGCCCTTGTGCTGCACCAGCTGCTATTTGCATTCTCGTGTTCCAATCCAGCCTCTTTCTATTTGGCCGAATATCTGAAAAAAAAATTAAAAAAATTAAAGTAACTATTATTTCATTTTATTTTCAAGTATAGCATAATAAAATAGGAGTAAGAGTGAAATGCAAATTAATTTACCATGTAAATGGCCCTCTAAAGAACCTAGAGCCAAGAACTCGTAGACTAAGAGCCTTTGATTTCCTTCGGCACAATAGCCGATTAGTTTAACGAGATTAGGGTGATTAACCATACTTAGTGTTATAACTTCGACCAAGAACTCCCTAATCCCTTGGCCTCCATTTTGATCGAGCTGCTTCACAGCAACAACCTGCATAATTCCAAACAAAAATATAATTTCGAAAATTGATTCACAAGAAAACAAAAGATATACGCATAACGTTGCATTTCAAACCCGTTTCTTGAATGTAAATCCTTCAATGTATATATATATATATATATATATATATATATATATATATATATATATATATATATATATATATATATAGAGGGAGAGTGAGAGATATAACTGACCTCACCAGTTTCAGGCAAATGACCCTTATAAACTTTACCGAAGCCACCCTCGCCGAGAAAATTTTCCGACTTAAAATTATGGGTAGCGGCGACTAAATCGGCAAATTTAAAGGTCCTTGCTTTGGGGGCATCGGCCCCTTCATGATCTGGACTGTTGTTACCAGCATTTGATTCTCTTGTGGAGACTTCAACAGAAGCTTGATTAGCAATTATGTGATCATCGCTCTTCAGAGTGTCTAAATAACAATTGAAAAACATTAATACATGTGAAAATGATGAACCGTTGAAACACACACACACACACACACACACACACATTGCACAAAAATTCAAGGGGCAATCCAAAAATTCGTAACTTTATTAGAGAAAACCGAACAATTAATGGATTCGTGAATCGTAACCTAATTGTGAGAAGAAGACAAAAAAAAGGGGGCAAACAAAAATTGAAACGCACGTTAGAAATTCCAAAAAATATAAAAACGGATCGTCTTCTAAAACCCTGAATTAAAAAAGGAGAGCGTTCGATTCGAAAAAATTCGATCGTTCACACCTGGTAGGGTTTGTGGACGATTGTCTCTCGTACAACGATTATCGCTCTTGTCATTCTTCAATTTCCTGTTTTGTTTCTTAGAGCTTGACGATTCACCGGAGCAGAAGAAACACCCCATGCCTCTCTCTCTCTATATCTCTCTCTCTCTCTCTCTCTCTCGATGATATAGATATACATATATGGGCGTATCGCTTTCTACAGACAGAAAACGGAGCCCATAAAGGAGGATTTGCAGAATGAATGAAGAGTATTTTTAGAGAGAGAAGAAAACAGGTGAGAAATGGAAACAGAGGGAGGGGCAGTGCACTTCTTTTGTAATTTTCCACTTTTCTCTAATCAATTCCACAATTTTATATATTTATATATATATGGTAAATTACACCTATAAGATTGAGTGTAATTGCAGTTTGCCCCTTCTAGTTTGGAGAAAAGAACACATACCTCCCTTGAGGTTTATTTCATTTGATTATTACTACCATGTTTTTAAATTCCATTTACCCTAGACCAAATAATAGTAAGTAAATTATGTTATCACCTCCTAATGTTATATCTAACTACATATAGATTTTTATGGAGTATTTTGTTTTTCGAAATAAAAAATGGTTTCCAATTTATAAATGAAGAATATCACCATCAACATGGTTCGAGACGTCCATTTGATTAAGTGTATCGGCAAGATGATTGCCTTTTACCTTTTAATAAAACCAAACAAATAGGACGAAAATAAACTCTAATAAAATAGTGCAATCTTGAATATATATAGGCGTCAAATGAAGAATCGGATGTCTCTTTCTGACGTAAAGTATCGATGATCTGTAAAGAGTAGCTTTCAAAGAACGACAATCCTCGCCCTGTAACACGTGCCTTGATACGTACATAGAGAGCTGTATGGACTCTCGATGCAAAAATACCGTTGAAAATCGGCTGACTCAACTGATTTTACGTAAGTCAACTAATTTAGAATCAGTTGAGTCAACTAATTTTAAATACATTTGACTCAATTGTAAATCAGTTGAGCCGACTAATTTAATTCAATTTACTCGTTTGTAAATCAATTGAGTCAATTAAGTTAATTAACGCGAAATCAAGAAGGGGATTTAATTCAATTGACTCGCTTATAAATTAGGAAGGGCATAATTGATTGACATTAGTTGTCTCAATTGATTTAGGGTAAATTACAACCACCCCTGAGGTTTGGTCAAATTACGAAAACCCCCCTCTTGTTTGGATAATTACAACCACCCCTCAACTCCTCAAATTTAGTGGAATCTTCAAGATTATATGGAATATTATCACATGTGTATCCGTTTTATCCCATTCGAACTCTACATTTTGAAGCAGGATGATCATAATATGTGTTTTTTGGCTTGTATATATCAGATTGTGGTGCATCAGAAACTGTATTTTTACACAAAACGAGTACAAACTAGAGCACATTGCACGAAATCTAGATGATTATGTTGAATTTGACAACATAAGGGTGGAGGCGTAAGAAAAAATTATAGTTGAGGGGGTAGATGTAATTATCCAAACAAAGGGTTTTTTTGTAAATGGACCATACCTCAGGGGGTGTTTGTAATTTACCATAAAAGGCGAATCGAAACGCCGTCGTTTATATGAGAATACTAAATGCCCTATTTCTATTCAATTTCAAATTGTCGGAACATTTGGGGATAATAGAATTTCAGTAAAATCAAATGGCTGCAGTGAGGCTCGTTCACCTGAAAACCGCGCTCCACCGCCACGGAGGGACGCCGTCGATTCCCCCGCCGTGGACAATATTCCGCCTCCCTAATAAAACCTTCCGATTATTTTCCACCTCCGTGTCTCCGCCGTCAAAGGCCGTCGTCTACGAGGAGCATGGGCAGCCAGACGCCGTCTACAAATTGAGAGAACTGCCTCCGGTTCCGATCAAGGACGACGACGTTTGCGTCAGAATGCTCGCTTCTCCAATCAACCCCTCCGATATCAATCGAATCGAAGGTTAGTGTCGATTACTCCATTTTCACTAGTTTATTCTGCCCTAATTAGCTGCCATTTACTATGAAGTGAGAGTGTACAAATTAAATGTTTTGATGTTGTTGTGTTTTTCCTCTGTTGCTTATAATGTGAAAAAAATGATTATTTGTATTTATTTATTTTTTTTCGGAAGTTTTAAAAGTTCGTATAATGTAGGAGTATATCCGGTGAGGCCGGCAGTTCCTGCTGTTGGTGGATATGAAGGTGTAGGAGAGGTACATTCTGTAGGCTCTGCTGTTAAGGGACTTTTTCCAGGCGATTGGGTCATACCTTCTCCACCTTCTTCAGGTAGGTGTACGGTGTACCCATGAATTTCAAAAGGACTCGAATAAAAATACTCGTTTTTTTCTAAAATGAGTTTCAAAGTTTGTCGATGATTTGGTTTGAAATTTTTTTTTTGACGTAGAAAACGGGAGAAGTGTTGGGAAACACCGAGTATTTATAGTGTAGTGCAGAGAAAATATTCGTGCTTGAAGTTAGTTGTCAAACAAAGTGCATCCAGAAAAAAAGGCGAGCATTGGTTCAGCAAATATAACATAACTACGCATAAATGGCAGTTTTTCAAGTATAAGGCTATGGAGAGACACCCTTAAATTGCCGATTCACAGAGTGTTAGCTTACCCTTTGGTGTTAATTATTAAACTTGCTTTAGATATTCTTAGCTGCAAATTCAAGAAAATAGACGATAGATTATCCTGACGATTACTTTAGTCAGTAATTATACGAAGGACAAGGCTTAGAGGGAACACTAATAAGCAGTTCTTGAAATTGTTGGAGATGGTTATCTGACCAGTTATTTATAAGTACCACCTAAGATCGGAGAATCTAAGGTTTAGTTAAAGCCCTTCATATCTGATTTTTACGCTCGACATTATCTGTGACAGCTGTTTCTGATCAGGTACATGGCAGACATATGTTGTCAAAGGGCAAAATGTGTGGCATAGAATTGATAAGAGCACTCCAATGGAATACGCTGCCACTATAACTGTAAACCCTTTGACTGCCCTGCGAATGCTCGAGGACTTTGTGGATCTAAAACCAGGTACCTTTTGTACCATAATTAGCGTTTCTTCAGTCATCTTTTCCTCTTCGTCTCTTTAATCTAGTTAATTGAAATAGGAGATGCTGTTGTTCAGAATGGTGCTACAAGCATTGTGGGGCAGTGCATCATTCAGCTTGCACGTGTTCGAGGCATCCACTCTATCAACATTATCAGAGACAGGTGTACTTTTAGTTACCCCATAATTCACGACCTTATTTACATGTGTTAATGTATGACAGACTGTCTCGTACTCACATGCCACAGTAGCATATAGGTTTTCTGTCATTCGAGAATGGAATATACTGTGCAGGAAGTTATCTCACGTTATATAAAATACTCTTTCTCAGGGCGGGATCTGATGAAGTAAAAGAAAAGCTCAAGAAACTCGGTGCGGATCAAGTGTTTACTGAGAGCCAGCTGGAAGTTAAAAATTTGAAAAGTCTTCTGGTATTATTTTACAAACTATCATTAATTTCTGAATTAATGGCACAAATATTCAATTTCAGATTCAATATATTTGCGTTGATTCACATATTACCGTCTGCAGGCGGATACACCAGAACCAGCATTGGGATTTAACTGTGTCGGTGGAAATGCTGCTTCTTCGGTTCTAAAATTCCTCAAGTAAGGCTTAATATAGTATGTTTGAACCTTGTGTAAACCATATGTAACCATAGTTGGCTGAAATCTTAATATTCTTGTCTCAATAGGAATGGTGGAACTATGGTTACATATGGTGGAATGTCAAAGAAACCTATCACCGTCTCCACTTCATCTTTCATATTCAAGGTACTTTTGAACACTGTCGCATCTTTTTTGCTATTCGAGCCTTTAAAAATTCCTAATTTGCATTATCTGTATTATAATTTATATAACCTCTTTATCTACGTGTGCAGGACTTATCCTTGAGAGGATTCTGGTTACAGAAATGGATGACCTCCGACAAAGCGAAAGAGTGCAGGGATATGATTGATTACCTTTTGAGTCTAACACGGAGTGGTGAACTGAAATACGAGTATGATCTATTTTCTCTCCGTTTTTCCCCATCATATATATATATATATATATATATATATATATATATATATATATGCCAATGTTGCAACATTGTTATTCTATTTGCCAATTTTGCAGCATGGAGCTGTGTCCTTTTGATGAATTTCCCACTGCATTAGATAAGGCCCTTGGAAAGCTAGGAAGTCAACCCAAGCAGGTGATTAAATTTTAGTCCGTGTGTAATTTTCTGATTCTCGAGGATTCGAGACATGCAATAAAGCAAAAGAGAAAAAAAGAATGTTTACAGAAGAGTGACATAATATTTTGTCCGTTGAGTTGTATGTTATATATAATCAGAAAAACATAGAGCTTCAATGTTACAAGAATTGGTCTCCCTCGGGGCCGAGTTCTAAAAATTTCCTCCGTAGGGTTGATTTATCTGGAATGACGGTTGACTTTTTGTGAAATAATACACATTTCCGTGGATTTTCGAAGGAAATATTAAGGGGGGAAATAAGAATCTAATTTAAATTTTATTTTATGCTTCTTTAAATAAATAAATAAATAAATAATTCAAAAGTATAAAAAAATATAATGAAAGCCCAGAAACTGTAAAACTTAAAAATACATCCGTTATTTATGGGCCTAATCAGTTGGACCTTTGTTTAGGCACATCGGTATTGGGCCTATATCTATGAAAAGCCCGGTCCCACATTTTAAGAACCCAGTGAAACACGTTTCTTACTATAAGAGCCTGAAAACGATTTTGCACTTGCCAATATTGTATATGAATGCTATATTTCAAATCAATTGGGATTTAATCTACTAAATTAGGGTCTAAAAATATCTGTATTTAAACTGAAATTAAATAAAAGAAGGTACTCCCCATTAACGGACTTGTCCGGAATTGGAACGATGATCAGGTTTGAAGTGTCTCCTTCCTCAAAATGTAATCGACTGCCTCTTCCACAGTGTCGACAACCTGCATTTGGCCAAGAAAGAGAACAGTTTTTAAAATGGATCGAAGTTATCGAATATTTCATTTTCAAATCAAGAAATTTTATTTAAACAAGCTGGATGTATAAATTACCAGATCTGCTGGATAAACGGGGTGATTCCCCTTCCCTTTGAAAACCCCGGACCTCGTCAAGATCGAAAACCAAGGCTGCCCCGCCTGTGGCAATAAATCAATAGTGTATCTTCATTATAAATAAAAAAAAAAAAATATATAGGAAACTAGAAGCAATTTGATTAGCTGAGATTTGAGAAAAAAAACAACCTGCTGAGCCCCTTTAATATCTACGAGGGGATTATCTCCTATCATGTATAGAGTTTTCAGAGGATTTTGTCCTTCAATTGGATGGCATATACTTTGCATCAGTATCTTTTCGGCGTTCTTGAATACAAATGGATTCGGTTTTCCGTAAGATGTGTACTCCAGAGCATTGGGGTAAACTCTGTGCATATAATTTTATAACAATTAAAAAAAAAAAGAAAAAAAAAATCGGAATGGAACTACAACAACTTTATACTAATTGAAAGCATTACCTGTTGTAGATAGATTCTAAGGCGATCCTGAAAGCACCCATGCCAAGGCGTTCAGTGGGAAATAGACCCTACCTTTGTCACAGGTTAATTAGTAATAGTTTAATCGATGAACAAAATCAATATAAGCCGATATATAAAAAGGCAAACTAACTTGATAAGAGAGGTCGTCGTTCGCAAAATAAAGAGGTGGTTGGGTTGAAATCTCTCTTCCAGGAAGGCCTCCGGTGCTCAAAATATCGCACAAAACCTGAAATTTGTTTGCATCTGGTAAGATTTTCGAGATTTAATTGCATTTGATAAAAAACCAATTCAAAAGTAATAAAGTCATGTTCAACCACTTAAAACAATTATCACATATGTTCTTATTCGTCGGGAAAGAACAAGTACCATACTACCTTTTATTTTTAAATGTTACTGAGGGGATATTTATAAAATGTGCATGAAACTTAATGCTAAACACAAATCTTAATTGAAAATAGACGATATTACGGTATTAAGATAGGAAAAAACACCTGAATGTCCCGGCTCCAATCGACAGAGTCACTAACAATAAATACAGCTTCCACTCTCTGAGAAGGAGGACCATTTTCGCTGTCTGTTTCTTTTGAAGAGTATTTCTTACAACCAGCCAGCTGACTTGTTGAATTCTTAAATTTCCCCAATGGATCAATATGTTCAAAATAAGATGCATATTCATCCAACGAGAGAACATTTCTGTAAATTTATGGACATAAACAAATCAGAAGAAGATTGGACCATCCTGACCAAGTAAGTATACAAGAATAAACAAAAACGAAAAAAGAGAAGGATAGCATACTTAAAACCATATTCAGACATCACTTTTGCCGGTTCTCCTTTCCCGACTGCAATAATGAGTTCATTCTCAAATCTGCAAAAAGAAGACAAGATAAGCAAATATCTATAGTTCTTAGAGAGATAAATGCTTTAATCTTTAAAAAAAATATTGTTTAACGTAATATCTTTCATTAATAAAATCACATGTATATTCGAAACAAGTGGTACATATACTATACGCATAACTAATCACTAGTTCACTTGTACCGTGTTTAACAAGCTCGGGGGAGTTAATTGCTTAAAACATCTTAGTACTAGTTAGCTATACGATATCTCTAAGAAAATGGTTTTCGTTCAAACTTAGTTAAACAAGAAATGAAATCCCTAATTTAGAAACACAATATCGTTTGATTTACGCATGCAACGAGCAAGAAATGTCGTTCTTTCTCTTACTTTTCCTTCCTTCAAGGCATATGTTACGATCAACACATAACCAGGAATCATCAAATTCCACAAATCGGGTATATTTAAATCTAATACATGCAATAGAGTAGTACCTATTCACTAGCTGCATGAAAGGTGAATGCCCCTGTATAACCTGCACCGGTAATGTATCGAGAATTTGTTAACACCAAAGCGATCGAATATTTCCCAAGTTCGAAGAACGTAAACAAGCTGTTCACAGATGCAACTTATAAGCAAGTTTGACCTGTGAGGCTAAAATACGAACACTCAATAATTTGCTCAACTCTGCTGCTCTTTCTGTTTCAGGCACACCACCTCCTGTAAGTACACCGAAAATCACTTTCACGTTTATTACTCGAGTTTTATCTACGCAATAAATCTTCTGATAAGCGCATCCAGATAAGACGAACAAATGCGATCAAATAGATTGCGAATAAACATCTTAATATAAAAATTACGAAACTTTTTTTTAAAATTAATGATCATCCATACTACAGCTTGATTTCTTTATAAATGTAATCACGAATTTTTACTTAAAAACATTAATTAAATAAAAATGCATGAAACAGAATGTAGTAGGGTACACAATTCTTTCAACACTCACCATTAGTCAAAAAAACATAGGGAATACTCATATTACCTGCGCCATAAGATAGAAACAACTTCGAGTTAGTGAAACATACAAAATTAAACCTTATATTGCTAATTTCATGATTTTTTTTCTTCCTATTACAATCAGAATCCACAGTTAATGAAAACGGGTGATTTATCAGAATTAAAAAAAAAAGGAGCGGACGAATTTACGGTTTTACCAGAGTCATCGTACAATCTTTTCAAAGCCTGTGGAGAGCCGCCGATTGGAGTTTCGCCTCGCAGAATCACGCCATCAATGTCAAACGCTATTCCGAAGGACGCGCTGCTGTGAGGAAAATCAAATGAAAATTAATTGGTAATCAGATAAAAATTCAGGAATCGACGATTTCAATTTATTTATTAAGATACGGAATACAGCATTTACAAGTGTGTGTTGTGTGTGAAAGAAAGAAAAAAAAAAAAAAAAAAAAAAAAAAATAGGAAGTAGAGTGAGTACGGGGGAGGAGGTTGGGAGTGGAGGTGAGAGAAGAAGCGCCGCCCATTGTTGGCAGAAAACGAAGAAACTCTGTGCCGATTTTGTGGAGAAGTTGCGGCTTTTCTCAAAATCTGCAGAAATTTCATCTTTATTGTTTATGTGCTTTGCTCAGCGATCTCCATTGGCTAAATCAATGTTACAAATATTTAAGAAAATTACTGCCAGACCCCGAGGTAAGCTTAAATTACGAAACAATACCTTATGTTTGGATAATTACAACCACTCCCTCATTTATGTAGTGTCTTACAAAAAAACCCCTTCAGTAGGTAAATGTTGGAAATTACCCCCCAAAGAAAATGTTCATATTTATATTTATGAACACAAAAACCCATATTAGTGTATGTAGATAAACGGTAACAATTCCACCCCGTATAGGTTTTATCGGATGTATAGTAAAATTGACACTCTAGTTCATAAAAAAATCGATAATAAATTAAACCGTACACAATAAAAAATTTAAAAACACTTTAATAATCTTGTACTTAAAGATTCTTTAACAGATACAAAAATGTGAAATGGATTACAACACTGTGGCTGAAAAGCATATACCTGGTTCCCTTGATATTATGATCCACAGATTATATATGAATGTATGTTTTACAACACATAAAACCACACATGACAAACCAAAATCATCTATTTACACTCCGAAAAAAAAAAAAAAAAAAAAGCAGCCAAAAATAAACGAGAAAACAGGGGAGTCGAGATCTATTCCGGGTTGAAATTGAGAGACTCCCTCCATATTAGCTCCTTTATATCTTCTTCGCTCAACGAGGCTTGTTCGAAATCGAACACAAAGGGAGACGGACAAGTGGGCTCCTCATTGATCTCGTGAAGACTCAATAAAAACGGATGATTCAGTGCTTCCTCAACTTTCAACCATTAAAAAACCCATTTATCAGTAATTCGATGCGTAAATGTTAGAATTCTCAAAGTATCGAAATAAAATTCAAAAGGGCATTACCAGTAATACGTTTAGCTGGATCAAAGACGAGCATTCTCTCTGCAAGATCTATTGCAACAGGGGACATATCTGGGAATTTTTGAGAAAATTGTTGTTTGGGCGCATCGGGTAACTGCTTTACGTATTTCCGAGCATTATCGCTTCTTAAAAATCCGAGGTCGGAATCTTCAGGCGAACCCAGTAGCTGCTCCATATTTTTTGACGAAAAAAAGTTTTATTTTTGCTAAATTTAACATTGATTGAAATATAGATAATGTATAATATTAAAAAATTACCTCGTTTATCAGGCCCAACTGCTGAACATAGTCTTTACCGGGAAAAAGAGGCTCTCGTTTAATAATCTCCATGAGTATACAACCAACCGACCACATATCAATTGCTGCAGTGTACTCTGAACAGTTGAGCAGTAATTCAGGAGCTCGATACCATCGGGTGACAACATACTCAGTCATATAATCTGTCTCTGAGTTGGTTCTTGCAAGTCCAAAGTCGCAAATCTTCAGGTCACAGTTAGAATTCAGAAGTAAATTGCTGGGCTTCAGATCTCTGTGCAGAACACCGGCGGAATGTATGTATTTAAGTCCTCGTAATAGCTGGTAAAGGAAATACTGGCAATGCAATAAACGGTTAAGTCCCCGTAATATTTAAGTTACAAATATCAAAGAAAAAAAAAGAGTATTTTGATGCAGAAAAATGATTGTTTCAGGCATATTGACAGATAGGAAAAGTGAATAAAAACTACAGATATTGACAGAAAGGAAAAGCCTATCTCAGCATAGTGTCGAGGCAAACATTAGTAACTGTGAAAACTAGCATGTTTAGGAGTAAAAAAGAATATGAACGGCTCAATCTATCTTATTTACAGCAGGTATATCAGTCAACCAACATCACAAACAAAAGACCAACTTCTATTTCAGAGGGAACAAAAAAAACAGAGGTTTTTGCAATTATGCATTGTTCGGAGAAAAAGAACCCAACATTCAGAAACAAATAATTCATCAGCAATCATTGTCCAGACAACGATATCCACTTAAGGTCATTCTCTCAGTGCCAAACAAAATCTCCAGTCGACAACATTTATATCCGAATGCATTCTAGACTGTCTTAGAATTCGTTGACGAAAACAGAAAGAAGAGATAAATTTGAAGGACTTCATTTGTATGGCTGGTTTACTCGAGGAAAAATAAGGAAATTCAAACAATTTTGTTTTTCTGATTTTCTTTTTCATGTAGACAACGAGGATGAAAAACCTACAGAGCACTTATATTATTAGTTACTTACCATCTTCAACACAACTGGAGTCTAACTAGAAGACGAGTATGTGAACATTAACTAAGTTGTGGAAGATTATTACCAAATTGTATAAGAGGAGTAAGCATGTTATAAACTAAGATCGTATATCATTTCACAGGTAAAAACTATAGAAGACAAACGTGTACACGATAACTATACACATGAAATCACTTAACAATAATAGGAATCTCGGTTAAGAAACCGATAACGAAAAAGTGAATTCGGGACAATCGAATAGATCAATTCACCGATTATCGTAGCGAACTTACTTGACAATGGTCCTCGGTGAGTTCCTGTGTAGAGCATATAATCTGGTGCAAATCAGTATCCATTAATTCATATGCAATGTAGACGTCATTGAAATCCTGTTTATCAGGTGGCCGTATAATATCCTTGATTTTAATAACCTACATTGGAATTTAAAAAAAAAATTACATCATAATTAAATCCCCAAATTTAAAGCTAAATTTAATAAAATCCTGAAATAGAAAAAATCGGGAAAAATAAAATAGAAATCAGAAGCTTATCCAACATTTTCGTGATCCATGTGCGTAAGAAGCTTGATTTCACGCAGAGTCCTTTTCGCATCGATCCTGTTATCAAACGCATTCGCGATTCTCTTAATCGCCACCTCTTCCTTTGTTTCAGCATTCGTAGCTGAGCTGCACCAAAATTAAAAAAAAAAACAAAATCCACCCCAAAATTCACAAATTCAGATACGCGCACATACACGCGCGCGCGCGCGAGTCAAAACAGAGAGAGAGAGAGAGAGAGAGAGAGAGAGAGAGAGAGAGAGAGAGAGAGAGAGAGAGAGAGAGAGAGAGAGAGAGAGAGAGAGAGAGAGAGTACCAAACGAGACCATACGCGCCGCGGCCGACGGGAGCAATAGGAGGGATGTACTTGGAGGGGACTTCGAAGAGGTTGCCGAGGACGTTGTACTGAGTGAACTCGCCGCCGTGGATGGGAACTCCCTTCAGTTGGATAGCCGAGCTGTTGGATTCATTTTCCTTTTCCTTCTCCATTTTCCTTTCGTCTGACGAAATTGTTGAAATTTTTGGGCCAGCTTTTATGAGTTCAAGAACAAAAGTGAAAGGGGGGAAATTGGGGAAAAGGGTTTTGGGGATTAGTGGATTACCGACTGTGGGCCCCATGTGGGGGTATTTTATTTTATTTTAGCTTTTGAAATTTTGAATTTTTTGTGCCCGCGATTTTGAAAATAATTATGATTATATATTTATTATAATATAATATATTATAATAATATATAAGCTAAATAAGTTTAATACGTACCAATCAAATAGTAGATTAGAACTCTAATTTCGGTTTTAGTTTGTTTCTAATTGTCAAACAAGACCTAGTGATTTCCTCAAGGGGCAAGGATTAGTCATAAGTGATTGATTTCCTTCAGCTCATGGCTGATTCTAACTATAGGCGAGAGAGAAGGTCGTCTCGGGTCCCTGATTTTTTGAAAATAAGGGGTCCGAAATAATGTTTTGTATTCTTTATATTTATGTTGTTCACAATATTAAATGATATAGAGGATATATAAATAGTTCAACAATTTAATAACTATATTATTTTACATAGTTTAAGTATTTGTTGCAATTTTTACACTTATTCTTGCATTTTATGTAATGAAATGTCTTAGACCATTAATAATTAGTTAGATATTGGGTTCTTCTATCAAATTCTTATAATTTTTCTTCAGCAATCTTTACATTTTTTAGTAATCTTCTACATTGCATGTCTCTAACTTCAAAGAGATTCGACAAGTTGAAATATGATATTTTATTTTATTATATTTAAACAAAGTTTATATATTTACTTATTCAATAATATTTTTTTAACTATTTTCAAAATTCGTAATTGCTAATAAAAAATCTAGTCTAGTCGTGCTCGTTACAATGGAATAATGTGTATATTATACAATACAAATAGGGGTTCATTTCTTTCAAATTCTTAAAACTCGCTTAGGCCTTCAATTTCTCAGGAACAATCATGCTCCAGCCAGAAAAGTTTTGGTTGCTAGTCTTTCTCTCGCTCGTGTGGTTCTTAAGATTTCCGATCCACATGTGGCGCTAAACTTCCGCCAGATAGCTTTGGGTGATCGATCATCAGAGAAATTCGTCGGCGGTAAGATGAAGAAATAGTCATCGTACATCTCCAAAACAAAAATCCTCGACGAGAAAACCACCGTCGTTTGGCGGCACCAACGGTCACAATTCTTCAACGAGCAAAATTAATTAATTCACCGGATTCCGCCCCCATCCTAGCAACACCTCTTCCTTTCATACCAAAGCACGGCGGCGGCACAACAAATCCAACGCGACGATTTTTTTCATATTATATGGCAGTTTTTGAATTTTTATTCTAGGTTCATGATTGATTATGAAACACGTGGATTATTTCCACATTTTGTTTTTAATTTTCTTATTTTCTAAACTAAATTTTAGTTATGTAATAAGTAGTGCTTAGTGGGTTAAGTATAGTGCTTAGTGGGTTAAGTATAGTACTTAGTGGGCTAAGTAGTGCTTAGTGGATTTAATTGTGGATTTTATTCTAACTTCCTAACTAACCCACTAACCCATTTTCTTGAGTGCTCTTGTGGTTGGTTTTCTTGCAGATCATGGGCTGAGGAGTGGAAGCTTGAAATGTCTATAAATACCGATTTCAATACTCATTGATTTTAATCGATTCTACGAAATAAAAAACCGAGAGCTGAAAAGAATACATGAGTGTTTTAGAGTGGTTTTAGAATCGATCGTTTGTACTCCTCATGAGTACAATCTTTACGTACTCCTTATGAGTACATTCTTTACGTACTTCTCATAAGTACATTCTTTGTAGTCAAGATTGTATAGTATATATGTTTCTAGACTTGGTTGTAAGAATGATCAAGATAGTGATTCATTCATAAGTTCTTTACGTACTCCTCACGAGTACATCTTTGAAATCTAGAATTTTTAATATTTTTCTTTTTGTATCTAGATTTGAATGTAAGAATGATCATGAGAATGATTCATTCATAAGGAAGAAGTTTTCGCACCTCTTCTGTTTGTATTCTTGGAATACTGATTTTAATATATTTTTTCGTCCTGTAAAGGGCAAGTTCACAAGTCTTTACTTGTGAACATTTTTAATTCTGAGTATTGTTCTTTTATCTTTATATTTCCGCTGCATGTTTTCTCAAGTGTCATAACACTTCAGATAACATCTCTGTATTGAACGAATTCGGGGCCATAAATTCTCTCAATTGGCATCAAGAGCCAACACTTGACGTATACTAAGTGTTTGTTCCTATTTTTTTACAGAAACGAATTCGTGATGGATACTCAGATGACTGCTTCTATGCGACCTCTTGTACTTGATGGCACAAACTACACATATTGGAAAGTCAAGATGAGGGCGTACATCAAAGCCATTGATGAGAGAGCCTGGAGATCTATTCTTACTGGATGGAAGCCACCAACTACAACAGATGCGGATGGAGATGTATCTCCAACACCAGAATTACAGTGGACAACAAATGATCTAGCAAATGCCAATCAAAACTCAAAGGCATTAAATGCAATCTTTAATTCAGTAGATTTAACAATGTTTAAATTGATTTCAGTGTGCACTTCTGCGAAGGATGCATGGGAGGTTCTTCAGCTGCATTGTGAAGGATCAGATAGTGTCAGAAGAACCAAGCTCAGATTACTCTCTTCCAAATTTGAGAGATTGAGAATGGAGGAAACTGAAACAATTTCTCAGTACAATGAGAAATTGATTGATTTAGCTAATGAATTTCAATCCTTAGGTGGTCCCTTGAGCAACGAGACACTGGTGAATAAGGTATTGAGAACTCTTCCAGAAAGGTTCAGCATGACGGTTACTGCTATTGAGGAGGCTAAAGATACATCATCTCTACGGCTGGACGAATTAATTGGTAGTCTAAAGTCTAGAGAGATGAATTTTGAAGATCAAAGAAAGGAGAAAGGAAAGGCTATCTCAAATGCACTCCAGGCAGAATTAGAGAAGGAAGATGTTGCTCCGGAATATGATGATGATGCAGAGGAATGTCTCAACAATGTTGCATTCCAAATTCAGAAATTCAATAGGGCATACAGGCGAAGTGGAATCAAGCCCAGACAATTATTTCCAGATGGCTCTCCGCAAAATCGACAAACTCAGCCTCGGAACAGATCTACTCCACAGAGAACATTTCCTCAAACATCTTCTCAGAACACTTTAAAAAATTCTTCATTTGTTCGTTCAAATTCTGAACCACCTAACTTAGATCACATTAAATGCAGGGCTTGTTCAGGATTTGGACATTATGCTAATGAGTGTGCAAATACCTTGAGAAGAAGAGGAATGAGTTTGATTTGTGCTGTCAGTGATGAGGAGGAAGAGCAACCTGAACAGACAGAGGAAGAGCAATCCACTAAACAAGCTCTCTCTGTCAGATATATCACTGGAAATGCTTCTGAAACAGAATCACAAGGAGTTTCTCTGGATGCTGCAACACTTTCTAAAACACTTTCAGTAACTGAAATTTATGAGTTAAATACTGATCATTATACATGTTTGAACTCTATTTCTTTAAATGCAGCAGAAACCAGTATTGAAGCAGTTAGTGATGAGGAAGAAATGTGTAAGAAGCTGATCAGCAACTTGGAGAAGAAGACTCAAGCTCTAGACGCAGCCAACAAGGAAAATTCTTCCCTTAAAGATACAATCACACATTTGAAGGTTGGTATCACCAAGAAAGATCTTGAACTGGCAAAGGTGAAAGATGAACTCAGAGAAGCAACTCTAGCAATCAAGAGGATGAATACCGGCACAACTAAACTCAAAGAGATTGTGTCACTGGAGAAGTACAACAAAATTGAAGGTCTAGGGTTCACAAACCAAGTGAAGAAGCACAAGCCAGCAAAGAAGAAGGAAATTGTCTTTGTAAAAGAGAAGGGTTCAAATGGAAAAGAATGCAAAAGCTCCACACTCACCACTCCAGAGTCCAGAATAAGGGGATACATTTGTCATTACTGTTTCTCACCAGGACATATTCGTCCATTCAATGAGAAACTAAGTATTGACAAAATGTTGTACAGGATGAGTCACAACACTCCAGGGAACACCTCCAAGAAAAAGGTAGAATTTACCAAAAATGAGTCTAGAATATGGACTCCGAAAGGTAAACTTATGTGCAAAGCAGTATACACTTCTTTAAATGCTAACATTTCAGGTTCATGGTACTTTGATAGTGGATGCTCTAGGCACATGACTGGAACTAAAGAGTTTCTATCAAACTACCATACACTCAATGGAGGACGTGTAACCTATGGAGGAAGAGCTAAAGGCAAAGTGGTTGGACGTGGAACACTCAGTATTGAGGGACTTCCAAAACTTTCAAATGTCTTACATGTTGAAGGATTGGGGTCAAATCTCATCAGGTCTAGGTCAATGGATAATTGTTATCAAACAGGTGACACCATCTCATGCAAGAGCTCAAGAGTAAGTGAACTAGAGCTGTGGCACCAGAAACTTGGGCACACAAACTTCAAAAATCTGAAGTTGCTCAACAATTACAATGCCATAAGAAAAATTCCTGATCTCAAGATCAAGGACATTCCTATATGTGGAATGTGCCAGAAGGGAAAGGAAACTAGAGTACCAGACAAAGTGTTACAACACGTTGGTACCACCATTAGTTTTGAACTTATACAGATGGATCTTATGGGTCCTATAGAGGTAGAAAGCCTAGGTGGTAAAAAATATGTATTTGTGTGTGTTGATGATTTTTCGAGATATACTTGGGTGTATTTTTTAAGAGGAAAATCTGATCTAGAATACATGCATGTGTTTGGATGTGTTTGCTATGTCCTAAATGATAGAGATCATCTAGCTAAATTTGATTCCAAAAGTGATTTGAGTTTATTTATAGGATACTCTAATAACAGTCATGCTTATAGAGTATATAACTTAAGAACTCGAACCATTATTGAATCTGTAAATGTGGTATTTGATGATTTTGCTGATCTCCGCAGTAAAACAGCTGAAGATGAAGTTGATGACCTGATTGCTGAAGGCGAAACAACCAGAGGAGACACTACTGCCACAGATGCTCCAGATATAAACAATCCAATTTCAAGAGAAGAGGGTGTTGAGCCAAGTGTTACCACATCTGACTCAATACTTCCTACAGAGAGCACAGAAGCTGAATTGCAGCCAACTC